CTCCGCAAGGATTTCTTTTCATGTTTCATCTCATGTGTGGTTATCTTTGTGTGCTCTCTCACTGTTCAGGTTATTTTTATCACATCGTCTGAATAAGGAAAGCAAAATTTCCTCCCACGTTTTCCTTCGCAGACGATGCCTAACGACGAATTGTTCCATTTCGTGTCTCTTCACCCCCCCCCCCCCACCCTCCCCCAAGCCCCACGAGCGGCCTCGGTGTGTCTCCATCTCCCTAATCCTCTGTCAACATTGCAGAGCTTTTCTGTTCTTTTTTTGTGAGGGAAGAGGATGGAGAGTTAACAGCCTCGTTATGCAAATGCTCACACGTTTGGCTCGCTGGTAAATGAAGGTAGAATATTCGATCATCCGCGTAGATGGGGCGAGATAATATCGTTGATGATCTTTTGATTCGCCGTAGATGAGAAGGGATTATGTTCGTGTGTCTACAGGCTTTTTTATTTACTTATTATGTGTAAATTACGCCTTTTTTTTTGTTTTTTTTTTTTTTTTATTATTTAGTGAGAAGGGGAAATGAATCTGGGATATGTAGGTTTGGCTCCATGTCGGGGAATCAATGCGAGATGACCCTCAGATAACATGTTTGTTGATTGATTCGGCGGACGTGATTGGGGCCGGCCTGATCTGACTGATATGACTGTTGGCTCTAAGGACGGAGGTCATAAGGATCCCGTTGGCGTGCTCCGTGTCGGTGTCATAGGTTTGCGAGACGGCAGGTAGCGTCGGCCCGATTCGTGATTATTCGCCAATAGAAGGCGGATCAACCTTCAAGGCCGAGGGATAGTAGGACGAGGTTCGCTTGGCTCAAATTATTCGTGGGAAATAAGCAATTTACAGCCATATAAAACGCCAATGGATAGTGCTCTCCTATCTTCGTATTAGGCAATTGCAACCGGCGTTGTACAAGGGTTGGAAAGGCTCCGCTAACATATGGTTCCGTTTTTTCCCTTTTTTTCTTTTTTTCTCAACCTCGTTTTTTTTCACTCATCCTTGAAGACCCATGATTTTGGAAGGGATTAAGTGAATTACTCATCCACGGGGACAAGGGGCCGGTGAGATGTAATCTTTTATTGATAAGAACAAAAATATACATTTATTTTAGTTGTCGTCACCCCATTGAGAGAAAATCGGGTGTGCTGTCTTTACTCTACGGAAATATACTGACGAGTGTGGTTGTCGTTGTAGTCGTGTCACAGAAGTACGTGACGAGGGTGATTGACGAGGACGTGCTGGCCGGCAACTCAGCGATATTCAAGTGCATGATCCCGTCCTTCGTGGCTGACTTCGTGAGCGTGCAGTCCTGGGTGGATTCGGAGGCCACCATCTTCATCCCCGGCCGATCCTATGGTAATGATGGCATGGGGGGAGGTGGAGGAGGGCGGGATAAAGGGGGAGGATTGGGGAAGGGGGGGGGTATTGAGCGGTGGAAGGAGGATCAGGGAAAGTGGATGGGTGGGTGGGATTTGGTCTCGCGTGTAATTCGTTTGTCGTGGAATATAGTTTGCTAATTTGGGAAGATTCAGATTTTTTTTTTTTTTTTGAGCGGTTTTGATTTTTCCTTGTTTGTAATTCTTTGATATTCGAGATATTAAGAAATATTCCCCGTTAGGGTAGGAAATATACCCGGATTTTGCACTGATTTTTATTTATTTATCTGCTTATGGGTGTTAGTGTCAGTACGCCAGCAGAAAGAGACGGAGCAACAATAGTAGCATCAGCATCACGGCGGGCATCTTGGTCTGGCCGTCGTCAACCAAGCACTTATGATTCTCTGTTCGGGAAAACCGACTTGCTCGCTTCCTCCTGCCTTTTCCTTTCTTCTCCTATTCTCCTCCTCATCCCTCTTTCGTCGATCCTTCTTCTTCCCCTTCCTTCATGCGGAAAGAGCGCGAGAGGCGTGTGCGGTAGTTTGCGAAAGAGAAAGAGAGAGAGAAAGAGAGAATCTGACGGAAGGCGTGACCGGTTTGCAGTGGTGGCGCAGGCTTACGAGACGCGAGTGAGTGACGAGTTCGTGATCCGAGGCAACGCGGCCATCCTCAAGTGCTCCATCCCTTCCTTCGTGGCCGATTTCGTGACCGTGCAGGCATGGGTCACGAACGACGGCCAGTCCTATTATCCTACGAACAAACACGGTATCGTAGCTGTGCAGGGGAAGGACACAGCCTGCAGCGTCGCTTCTTTTCCCTTTTGTTGCATTCGTCTTCTCTCTTTTTTTGCCGTTTTCTTTCTCATTTCTGGTGTTTTAGGTATTTATTTATTTGTGTATTTACTTTTATTTTCAGGCGAGTCATCTTTATGTGGTTTAATGTTTGAGTATATGATTTATCTTGGTATATGTTTTCCAATTTAATACTTTACAGTGTCTATTGGCATTTCAGAAAGAATGGGAAGGCTGTAGCAGGAAGTCCTCCGCCTTTTTGTACCCTCCGCCAGCTAATATTTTATGTATATTCACTGAATTATTCCGCATTCTAATATGCTACTTCGAGGGCGGGATATTCCGTGTCCATGACTGTGCAAAATATGACCGTGGAAGCCATTTATGAATACCAACGCATTCCACGCACATAAACACACATACATACATGCCTGTCTCTCCGCTTGGTCGATGCCACGCGATATTTCAACGCGCATCGTGCATGAATTATGAGCGTTTCCAGGTGAAGGGGAAAGCCGCCCCAACCACCGGAAGTGGGACAGATGCTGGACTTCCGGTGGGCAACGCAAAACACTCTCATACGTCACAGCTATTCGTGGCATCCGAGTGTTCCGCCGTGATGATGTAATAGGGAAGGGAGCCACGGTGGGGGGGGGGATATTTGGTTATGTTGGATTGTGGTTGAATGCTGTTGGTCTTGTGGTGGTTCGCTGTGGCTGGGGGCGGGGTGAGGGTGGATGCTGCTGCTGCTGCTGCCGACGGAGGCGAGAGATGGCTGGAGGAACCTGACCTCACCCCTGGCCACTGAGAGATTTAAAAGAAGAATGCCATGTCCATATTGATATATCCTGTGTGCAATCGCTATTTTAGAATTAAGAATTTCCTTTGTGTATATGATTATTGACTGTGATATGGGATAGACGGCATCTGGGAGACACAGTGAAGTGCTGCCTTACTTCTGGAAGGTTCCTAGCTCCTGCCTTGTGCTTACATAACAATCAATACGGCACACACTGTGACTCCCACAGGCTCGTCTCTGTACTTCTGGGATAGTTGTTAAGGATAAAATTTTTATCAAATGTGTATTATTATTATGTAGGCTTAGTAAAGGAGATTGTAGAGATCTATATAAATTTTGGATAAACATACTAATAATAAACTTTTTAAAGTAATTAATTTCAAATATTGTTCAGTGAATTATTGTCATTTATATTTGCCAGTGTTCAGTAAAGTAAAGTAACCATATACAATTTGACATTTCTTGTGGTTTTGATAGCTTCAGTTAGGTTAGCTAGAATGTTACTGTGTACTGTTTTATTAAATTCCATTTCGAGTATTTATCAAGAAATCTCCAAAATCTTTATAATCATGGTGCATCAGTTAAATAGAAGACAAGTTCAAAGATAGAATGGAAAAATCCGAGTAAATTGCATATCGATGTCGAAAATGGAGATTTTTTGATGAGCTTAGCATTGGAATTTTGGTATATATAAATTATTGTTATTTTTATTCTTGTCATCCGTGTTATTTTTAGCTAGCTATAAGAGTTTGCCACGTGTAGTCAAGAAGAGTCGCTAGTAACACGCCGTGTCTCAGATAATCCAATTTAACATTTTCAGTTGAACTTTGGGAATTAATTTGCGTCAGCACGTAACTTCATTTGCATTTCTGAGATCTCCAGTTGAAAGAAAAAAAGAAATATCGCCGCGGCATTTCAACTTTGTCGAAAGTAATTTGCCATTTAAAACATCATCACGGGATATCCCAAAGACTTTGATTTGACTTCGATCACAACTTTGATTTCGATGATAAAGAATTGTCAAGTTCGATGGACGGCAGTTCAGCTCAGTAAGTTTTCGGAAAGCAAGATTTTTTTTATTATTTTTCCTCGTTACGAAATGCTCGTAATTATTTCTTTTGAAAGAATTTGATAATGGCAGACTCGTGAGATCAAAGAGAATCTGCAGATTAGCTCTCCTCGCTTCTTGCACCACGTGGCAAACTTCAGACGGTTAGCTTCCCATCATATATCCATTTTGAAGATATTAGGCTTCATTTCGGGGTTTAAATTAGAATGGAAATTGAAAGAAGCTGAAAGTACTTGCTAAGTGTTTATATCCACCTAAAGCTTTTTTTACTTATCCTCTCATGACCACTTAAAGCAACGAGAAAGCGGCTGGCTGCAGCGACGTCGGCGGCGGATGTAGGCGGAGTTTAAGTGGTCGTAGGGGGTGGAGTCTTAAAGGCGGTGGGTGGAGTCACAGGCTCTCAGAGGGAGGGGCTTCAACAAAGGGTATGAGGGTTGACGGGCATTCATTCACGCCTGGAAAAACGCGCCAAGACTTTGCCGGCTTTCCAGTGAAAATGGATGTGTGATGGGTTATTTTTGAAGGTTTATCGTGTTTAAAAGGATACCACTTCTTCTTGGACTTTTATTGGAACTTTGACAGCAAACTACTTTTCACAAGTTAAGATAAATACTATTTTAGCGATTACGATTTAGGAACTTCTTATATTAAAAGTTGCATTGTTACAATAAAACTGATACAGAGGTTAGAAATTAAAGACTTTAATGATTTTAAATATTCACTATTATTTAACTAATTTAGAAAGATCTAACTTAAGTTTATTTGTCACAATATTCTATTAAAACAATATCACATTGCCTAGAAATTAACTTCATATCAGATATTTCTTTGCAAGAGGATCTTAAACCGCACAGCATAACCTCATTAAATTAAAAGTCCAAGCATTAGTGGTGTTCTCTCCCCCGAGTGAAGACGTCCAGTACTAACGTTTCTCCCCCCGTCTCCCTCCCCTCCAGATGGCAAGTACCTGGTCCTTCCCTCCGGCGAACTCCACATCCGCTCCGTCAGCTCCGAAGACGGCTTCAAGAGCTACAAGTGCCGCACCGTGCACCGCCTCACCCAGGAGACCCGCCTCTCTGCCACCGCCGGACGTCTTGTGATCTCCGGTAGGTCTGGCTCTGGCGTCGGAGGGGCGAGGGCGGGGCGGGGGGGGGGAATTGGGGGACTGCGGGTTAGGGGTTAGGTTAGTCAATAGAAGGGGAGGGGGGGGGTTTATAGGTAGGGGGGGGTTGGGCTAGGGGTTAGGTTAGTTTATAGGAGGGAGGGGGTTAGGTTAGTTTATAGGAGGGGGAGGGGGCTAGGTTAGTTTATAGGAAGGGAGGGGGTTAATAGGAGGGGACTAGGTTAGTTTAATTGGCCCGTTAGGTTATTTAACATGTCATTTCATAGTAATTTAATGATTGAATTGTTTGGTTATGTTAAGGTATACTGCATGATGTAGGTCTATGTAACATTGCACTGGGCCTGGGTTGAGTTGATTTAGGTTAGGCTTGGGTGGTTATGTTAGGCAAGAATAGATTAGGTTTGGTAGGATAGATCAGGATAGATGAACATGTGCAAATAGGGTTATTATTATTTACGAGGTTAGAGGATGGGAAGAAAAAGAAACATATAATGGAAGATTTGGAGGTGCAGAAACAAAGGAATGTCAGAAACAGAGATAGAAGGGAAATATGCCATAGAAGGATAATACAGTAGGAAAAGTAAAGGAAAGAGGAAGGATTTGATATAGCATTATTTTTTTTTTTAGCTAAAAGATGTAAAAGAATGTTAGAGCATCATTTATTTGTGTAGTGTTTTAATCATTATGAAAGATATACTAACCTTTATGTAAGACCAATGTGTATAGTTATATCGCAAGAATAAGTTTCATAGAGTTATACCACTTGTGATACATAATTTAGTTAAAAAGCGTAAAGTTTAGTATGATATATTAGATTATCAAGAAGGGGCTGGAGGTAGAACGCAGTCCAGTTTGGGAGGGTATTTTTGTGCATGCATTGCTGATATATATTCAAGTAGATTCAATGTTTGTCATCTGGTTCCATGTAACTGTTTTTTTGTCGGGCCAGATCAAGTAAAGTAGAATTTGGTTGTGAAATCTGAAATATATTTGAAATATAAATATTTTAGAATATGATAACCAGTGACATCCACGGAGCGACACTTTTATGACGGCATGGTGCAACTAAGGGTCAATATCACATGTGAGCTCAACGTAATTTCGCCCGTGCCTTCATAGGGTGTGTCTGTGGATGCCGCTGGTTTGAACAAGGAGCCTGAATGTTGGGATAGGGTACCCCTGCCGTCTCGCTAAATTTTGTTCAATTGGCTTGTAAAAAGTTCAAAATTGTTCAAGTAAAAGATCCAATCAATAATAATTAGCACAAAATATCCGAAAGATGTCGGATTGCTATGTTGCCTCTGTCTCTTAGATTTTGATTTTGAGAGTTCAAAATTACGTTGCGTGATGAGTCTCTCTCTCTTCTTTGGATTCAAAGAGAAGTTAACGTTACGCGTGACGCATACACACACATACACACACACACGGACACGTACATGTACACAAACATACACACACATGAGTTAGGATTTGAGGAAAACAATAGGATCAGTTAGTTATTTTATGATTAGGGTATTTCAAAGGAGTAGACATGAGGATATCTGTCTTTAAAATTACTCTGTTATTTATGATTAGGGTATTTCAAAGGAGTAGACATGAGGATATCTGTCTTTATAATTACTTTGTTAATGACTAATTACTCGAGTCAGTTATAAGTAGATGTGATGGTCAGTACTCAAGCAGGACATCTGGCGGCAGCAAAGGTAAGTGAAGGATTTGTTTTTGTCACTCTGGTGCGTGATACCCCCCCCCCCTTACCACCCTCATCTTTAGGACTGTCTGAAGTAGCTTTTGTATTTTCATTCAGAATTTGGTTATTTTTATGTTAATATCAGACGTCGATATAATCAAGTTCAATGATTGTTTGAATCTTCAAGTAAAGGGGTTTATTAAATAACTTTTTTTTTCCCCGAGGGCACACCAATCTTGCTATGTTCGCGCACCAGAGTGATATTTGTGTTGTGATTACGTAGCATCAAAATTAAAGGCTTTGCGAGGTTGATGGAACAGAAAAGCAGCGGGGACGCTTGATTGGTCGAGCGCGAACATCCTCGGCCAATCATCTGGCTTTGTGATCGCGCACCCGGACTCACTATGCGGCTTTAGATTGTTTGCAAAGGACCCATACACAAAAGGAATGTTGCTCGTGTCCGTTTTTTTTATGAATGCAAAGAAATTATGGTGAAATATATATATTTGGAGAGTAATGTGCTAACTTTGCTTGTTGTGGAATCGTATTTCATCGCGATATGATATTGGTGTTATATATTTGGGTTGAATTGCGGCAGCGCGCGATTACCTGTCGCAGTATATCGGTCTAAGTTTTGAAATGTGTGAGAGAGTGTATAACCCAGTTCCAATATCAAGAGGAATATGAATTTACTAGCCTGGGATCGCGTCGTAAATTGGGCAGAGAGCGCTGGGCGAAACCTATCCGACATTCGAAATGACTCCAAGTGTGTCCCCGAGAGCCAAGGAATCTAGTAGTTGACGCGGCGCATGTTGGCGTTCCAGATCCAGCGGGGAGCAGCGCCCCCCACCTCACCACGCGCAGTCGGTCGCAGACTTTCGACGTGGCGGCAGGACTCCCCACCACGGTTCTGTGTGAGGCGCAGGCCAGTCCTCCGCCGAGCTTTAGGTAGCGCAGGCGTCCTCGGGTGTTGAAATTGGGCGTGGATTACTCCTTGCTCGGAGTTGAAATCTCCGCGGGATGGCGGGCTATTTTTTTTCCTTTTCTTTGTTTCTCTCATTGTCCTTTTGGGATGGCGTAGCTTGTTTTGTGAAAAGGGAGGCGAGCGTGGCAGTAGCTTAATTTTCATTATTATTGTTATTTACGTTTATTTTATTTACTGGTGTGTATGCGTGTGGAGATATTCGATACTGAAAACAGGAGTACCTTATCCCGACTACCACAAGGTGCGTGTTAGCAGGAGTGCACATCTCTCGGTTATTCTTGCAGAGGTTGTGGCAATGTCTCCCCCAAAGTTACCGACTAGAGATAAGGCGCATAATTTCGACATTGCCCAGGGCATTGCTACCACTTTGCTGTGCGAGGCCCAAGCGTCGCCGGCGCCCACCACAAGGTAGTGTAACGGCGTCTTTAGTTACGGGTTGCACAAGGGGGAAGGGTTCGTGGTTTTCTTGACCGAATAGGAGGATTTTGATGTTTCACGTTGGTGACGAAAAGGATTTTTAAAAAACTTTTTCATGGATTGCCAACAACAATCGAAGACGAGAAAGAAAATATATGTGATTTGTCCGTGTCAGATCGATTCATGTAATAAATAGGAAATGGATATTGTCATACCTTCCCCGAGGCATTGTGAGGGCAGGATCTCGTATCCTCATTCAGGCTCTGCTTGACACACCGTCTAAAATAATCTTAAAGACCGACAGTTTGTAAATAAGAACACATTCATAAGCAAAGACTGCCTGATTCAGAGCCCATCGGCCTGTCGGCGCCCAAACTTCCTTCCAAGGAGACAGGGTCGATGGTCAGCCAAGAGGCAGGCTCTTCGTTCTCCCTTCTGTGCCAGGCCCAAGGCAACCCGCCGCCCACCGTCAGGTCAGTACGCCCTTCCCTCCTTCGGTACGCGGGCGCTGTGTCGGGGGAAAGCCCTGATTGGTCGGAGTTTCGGGCGTGTTATGGGCGCAGCTGATTGCAGTTTGTAGTCAAGGAGAAAGTGCCTGCATCGCGATCTCTATTTCATTCTTATTGATTTATACAACACGGTTAAATAGCTTGAACTTCCCCTCGTCTCACATTCAGTTCTCTTTGTGTGGGCGTTTTTCTCTCTCTCACTCCCTAACCGGAAGCCTCCCTGCTCACATTGATCGGCTTCCTTCCTCTAGAGCCGGTAGGGAGCAGCGCCCCCCGTCTGCCCAGCCGGGATAAAGGGGTCATAGTGGAACAGCGAAAGGGCGCGGTGATCCCTCTCTTTTGCGAAGCTCAGAGCCACCCCGCGCCGCGGTTTAGGTAGGTGGCGACCTCGGGCGAAGGGAGCGATGGAAGAATTTTGTATACATGTGAGAGTGAGAGTGGGAGTGATATTGGCAGATAGAGATAGAGACAGATAGATATGGATGAACGGACGGACGGACGGACGACAGACAGACACACATACTGACAACTAGCTAATAGGTAAATAGATAGACACAGAAGGATAGGGAGATACAGAATCAGAATCAAGGGAAAAGGAGAAGGAGGAGATGGAAAAGGAAGATAAAGACAGAAAAAGCAAAAGAAAAGAGGAAGGAAGGAGAAAAGAGAGAGAGGAGAAGAGAGAGAGAGAGAGAGAGAGAGAGAGAGAGAGAGAGAGAGAGGAGAGAGAGAGAGAGAGAGAGAGAGAGAGAGAGAGAGAGAGAGAGAGAGAGAGAGAGAGAGAGAGCGCAAGCAAAGTAAAGATTCATCCTCGCACTGACGAGCTCGCCAGCGAGCGGCCGCCCTATCGCAGCCAGCCGCCTTTCAGTCACGCATGGAAGCCTCTCGAGCGGCGCTGCAAAGGCGGTGAGACATTTGGTTGTTTGCAGACTCGGTCGGCAGCTCAGGTCCTCGCCTGCCGTCGGACGACCGGCTTCACTCGGTCTCCAAGGCGTCGGGCTCGGATTTCGGCCTCCTGTGTGAAGCCCAGGCCTATCCGCCGCCGAGCATTAGGTAACGTTTTGGCGGTTTGGCGGGACGGTCGTTGTTGAGCTGATGGTTTGTACGCGTGGTCTCGGAGCGCAGAGTATCACGTGTGTTTGCTCCATTTTTTATTTTGTGTTGAAGATTATTGGTATTGGATGCCTTCTTGATTTTTAGGGCGATGGCATTAAGTAGATGGAATCACACAAAATACTCGTACATATTTTGTTAAAGATTATCCTTCCTAAACTTCGTGAATCTATATAATACATTCTAGTAAGATAAAAGAATCGGGATTATAGTATAAACAAGATCAATACCAGATTATATTTTCTTTTCGTGTATATAAAAATCATCAT